AATTCAGTGAATACAGTAGGTTTTACAGAGATGCTGTTTGAGAAACCAAAGTGAGTTTGGAAAATTGCACAATATAAATATATTCTAGTAGACCTCAACAATGGAATTATGATCAGTGGAAATGGCCATGACATGGGACCTTTAAGCACTCCACTTGCAGCTCATCGCTTCCTCGTACGCATTAATGAATATTTTTCGTTTCATCCTGAGGTGCGCACTTCAAATATGATCTAAGGTTTGACATCAAGCACACGTGGACCAGCTGGGTCTATTTCCATTAATTAAGTGAAGAGCGATGTCCATATGAAGGCACTGAGCCTTTTTGTTTCAGCATGCTGAATATCTTGATTGGACCTCTTGATGCATCTTTTATGAATCAAAGTGCAAAGCCTGGATAGCCTGGTTACCACTACAAAGCCTAACGGAGCTCACCGGGAATTACTTATTATTCATATCACTCTATTACCCCCTAAACAACATTTCAGGGAGACACGCAGGAAATTGTGGTTGGATCAGACCTGCCGCATTCACATTCCTTTAAACAAACAAACACCAGAATAGGCTGGCTTTGAAGTTGTGACCCATATAGATGAAGCAATAGAGCGGTGCAGTGATGACGCGTTTTTTAGGCCGACCCGGAAGTTAGCAAGTTAGCTCCCGCGTCAAAAAGCAGAGGGATTTTTCCATTGGATTTCGGTATATTGCAGAACATAAGCTCTGTGGCAAACACTTTTATGATCCTTACACTTTAGTTCAGCAGGATAATATCCACATATTAACCTATTTTGTCTCTGCTGTTGTGCAGAGAACATGCATCTGTCCTTATCTCTGCAGGATTAAACATCACGTCAAGTTGCACATGCTCTTTGAATAAATATGTCTTTACTCTGATATTAAGCTGCTTATTCCTCCCTCCCCTATGTATATATATTTCTATATGTGTAGGGTCTCATTTTCTTCTTGAGCTGCATCATCAAAAAAAGGATGAGAGGGCTGCAAACGCCTAGGAATGCTGTTTGTATGCACTTCTTTGCTAAATCTCTTTTGGAGAGCTTGATCCTCTGTTTTTATCAAAATATGACAAATTAGTTTTGAACATATTTATGCTGGGTAGCTTTTATCGTCAACATGGCAAAACACATATTTATACTAAACACATTTGCAAAATGGTGACTCCCAACAATATTTCTACTTCAGTATCCACATGTACATGGACAATGTTACTGACAAGGGGGTCGGTTTATTCACGCATTTAACAGTGAAGTGTTTTCTAAGGTGAGCCTGGCTGTTGGTCACCCTGCTGTCACTCCATCCCTTTATACTCAAAAGCTGGAAAGTTTCTGCAGAAAGTAAACACTTTGTTAGGATTCAAACACTTGCTAAAAAACAAATTCCTTGATGAAAAATCACTTCTGAAATGGTTTCATAAGGTTCATAGAGCCCAATTTAAAAATGTACCTCACCAGTAGACAAAATATTTTTTTTGGAGTAGAACTAATTGGATTCATGTGTCTGTAACTTGGGCAAAGCATGAAGGTCAATACATGTAAAGACAATATAATTAAAACCAGAATATGAGCAAATGATTAGGAGAATAGAGATCTACATGTTTGTATTCAACCCCCAAATTCCCTCATTTCTTTGAGTTTGTATAGGCGACTGATACAAGACCACTTGTAGTAAAAATGCTTTAAGAGTCAATAGTGCCGTCCTGAGAAGTATTACCATTTTGAGCAGTCAGATGTAGGCCATGAGGGCTATACAAATATCTGCAACCAGACGTGCCTCTGCTGGGGCATGCAACTGTTTATTTTAGGAAAGTAGGTAGTCGGTTCAGTGACTTCTTCTTGCTTACACAACGCAAGAAAGAAAGCTGTGAGAAGGATCCAGGTGGAAATGTGTTGCACACCACTGAGTGTGTGTCTTTATCTCTATTTAGACATGTAAGCTAAAATGGCCAAACATTAAGAGGCACTAAGAAAGCTCAACAAAAACCCGACAAAACTAAACAAATGTAATATGAATGCCCATCTCCGCAATTGAATGAACCATTCAGTATGAAATAAACTCCCACAGCTAACATGACACGGAGATTTCTTCTGTCTGATAA